TCCCCCATACATCCTAACATATGTCTCCCATACATCCTAACATATGTCCCCCATACATCCAGACATATGTCCCCCATACATCCAGACATATGTCCCCCATACATCCAGACATATGTCCCCCATACATCCAGACATATGTCCCCCATACATCCTGACATGTGTCCCCCATACATCCTAACATATGTCCCCCATACATCCAGACATATGTCCCCCATACATCCAGATATATGTCCCCCATACATCCAGATATATGTCCCCCATACATCCTAACATATGTCCCCCATACATCCTAACATATGTCCCCCATACATCCAGACATATGTCCCCCATACATCCAGACATATGTCCCCCATACATCCTAACATATGTCCCCCATACATCCAGACATATGTCCCCCATACATCCAGATATATGTCCCCCATACATCCAGACATATGTCCCCCATACATCCTAACATGTGTCCCCCATACATCCTAACATGTGTCCCCCATACATCCAGATATATGTCCCCCATACATCCAAACATATGTCCCCCATACATCCAGACATATGTCCCCCATACATCCAGACATATGTCCCCCATACATCCAGATATATGTCCCCCATACATCCTAACATATGTCCCCCATACATCCAGATATATGTCCCCCATACATCCTAACATATGTCCCCCATACATCCTAACATATGTCCCCCATACATCCAGATATATGTCCCCCATACATCCTAATATATGTCCCCCATACATACTAACATATGTCCCCCATACATCCAGATATATGTCCCCCATACATCCTAACATATGTCCCCCATACATCCAGATATATGTCCCCCATACATCCTAACATATGTCCCCCATACATCCTAACATATGTCCCCCATACATACTAACATATGTCCCCCATACATCCAGATATATGTCCCCCATACATCCAGATATATGTCCCCCATACATCCAGATATATGTCCCCCATACATCCTAACATATGTCCCCCATACATCCAGACATATGTCCTCATACATCCAGATATATGTCCCCCATACATCCAGATATATGTCCCCCATACATCCTAACATATGTCCCCCATACATCCAGACATATGTCCCCCATACATCCAGATATATGTCCCCCATACATCCAGATATATGTCCCCCATACATCCAGATATATGTCCCCCATACATCCAAACATATGTCCCCCATACATCCAGATATATGTCCCCATACATCCAGACATATGTCCCCCATACATCCAGACATATGTCCCCCATACATCCTGATATATGTCCACCATACATCCAGATATATGTCCCCCATACATCCAGACATATGTCCCCCATACATCCAGACATATGTCCCCCATACATCCAGACATATGTCCCCCATACATCCTAACATATGTCCCCCATACATCCAGATATATGTCCCCCATACATCCTAACATATGTCCCCCATACATCCAGATATATGTCCCCCATACATCCTAACATATGTCCCCCATACATCCTAACATATGTCCCCCATACATCCAGACATATGTCCCCCATACATCCAGACATATGTCCCCCATACATCCAGACATATGTCCCCCATACATCCTAACATATGTCCCCCATACATCCAGACATATGTCCCCCATACATCCTAACATATGTCCCCCATACATCCAGATATATGTCCCCCATACATCCAGATATATGTCCCCCATACATCCTAACATATGTCCCCCATACATCCAGACATATGTCCCCCATACATCCTAACATATGTCCCCCATACATCCAGATATATGTCCCCCATACATCCAGATATATGTCCCCCATACATCCAGACATATGTCCCCCATACATCCAGATATATGTCCCCCATACATCCAGATATATGTCCCCCATACATCCAGATATATGTCCCCCATACATCCTAACATATGTCCCCCATACATCCTAACATATGTCCCCCATACATCCAGACATATGTCCCCCATACATCCAGACATATGTCCCCCATACATCCAGACATATGTCCCCCATACATCCTAACATATGTCCCCCATACATGCTAACATATGTCCCCCATACATCCAGACATATGTCCCCCATACATCCAGACATATGTCCCCCATACATCCAGATATATGTCCCCCATACATCCAGATATATGTCCCCCATACATCCAGATATATGTCCCCCATACATCCTAACATATGTCCCCCATACATGCTAACATATGTCCCCCATACATCCTAACATATGTCCCCCATACATCCAGACATATGTCCCCCATACATCCAGATATATGTCCCCCATACATCCAGATATATGTCCCCCATACATCCTAACATATGTCCCCCATACATCCTAACATATGTCCCCCATACATCCAGACATATGTCCCCCATACATCCAGACATATGTCCCCCATACATCCTAACATATGTCCCCCATACATCCTAACATATGTCCCCCATACATCCAGACATATGTCCCCCATACATCCAGATATATGTCCCCCATACATCCAGACATATGTCCCCCATACATCCAGACATATGTCCCCCATACATCCAGATATATGTCCCCCATACATCCAGATATATGTCCCCCATACATCCTAACATATGTCCCCCATACATCCAGATATATGTCCCCCATACATCCAGATATATGTCCCCCATACATCCTAACATATGTCCCCCATACATCCAGATATATGTCCCCCATACATCCAGATATATGTCCCCCATACATCCTAACATATGTCCCCCATACATCCAGATATATGTCCCCCATACATCCTAACATATGTCCCCCATACATCCAGATATATGTCCCCCATACATCCTAACATATGTCCCCCATACATCCTAACATATGTCCCCCATACATCCAGACATATGTCCCCCATACATCCTAACATATGTCCCCCATACATCCTAACATATGTCCCCCATACATCCAGACATATGTCCCCCATACATCCAGATATATGTCCCCCATACATCCAGATATATGTCCCCCATACATCCAGATATATGTCCCCCATACATCCAAACATATGTCCCCCATACATCCAGATATATGTCCCCATACATCCTAACATATGTCCCCCATACATCCAGACATATGTCCCCCATACATCCAGATATATGTCCCCCATACATCCAGATATATGTCCCCCATACATCCAGACATATGTCCCCCATACATCCAGACATATGTCCCCCATACATCCAGACATATGTCCCCCATACATCCTAACATATGTCCCCCATACATCCAGATATATGTCCCCCATACATCCTAACATATGTCCCCCATACATCCAGATATATGTCCCCCATACATCCTAACATATGTCCCCCATACATCCTAACATATGTCCCCCATACATCCAGACATATGTCCCCCATACATCCAGATATATGTCCCCCATACATCCTAACTTATGTCCCCCATACATCCTAACATATGTCCCCCATACATCCAGACATATGTCCCCCATACATCCTAACATATGTCCCCCATACATCCTAACATATGTCCCCCATACATCCAGACATATGTCCCCCATACATCCAGATATATGTCCCCCATACATCCAGATATATGTCCCCCATACATCCAGATATATGTCCCCCATACATCCAAACATATGTCCCCCATACATCCAGATATATGTCCCCATACATCCTAACATATGTCCCCCATACATCCAGACATATGTCCCCCATACATCCAGATATATGTCCCCCATACATCCAGATATATGTCCCCCATACATCCAGACATATGTCCCCCATACATCCAGACATATGTCCCCCATACATCCAGACATATGTCCCCCATACATCCTAACATATGTCCCCCATACATCCAGATATATGTCCCCCATACATCCTAACATATGTCCCCCATACATCCAGATATATGTCCCCCATACATCCTAACATATGTCCCCCATACATCCTAACATATGTCCCCCATACATCCAGACATATGTCCCCCATACATCCAGACATATGTCCCCCATACATCCAGACATATGTCCCCCATACATCCTAACATATGTCCCCCATACATCCAGACATATGTCCCCCATACATCCTAACATATGTCCCCCATACATCCAGATATATGTCCCCCATACATCCAGATATATGTCCCCCATACATCCTAACATATGTCCCCCATACATCCAGACATATGTCCCCCATACATCCTAACATATGTCCCCCATACATCCAGATATATGTCCCCCATACATCCAGATATATGTCCCCCATACATCCTAACATATGTCCCCCATACATCCAAACATATGTCCCCCATACATCCAGACATATGTCCCCCATACATCCTAACATATGTCCCCCATACATCCAGACATATGTCCCCCATACATCCAGATATATGTCCCCCATACATCCAGATATATGTCCCCCATACATCCAAACATATGTCCCCCATACATCCTAACATATGTCCCCCATACATCCAGACATATGTCCCCCATACATCCAGATATATGTCCCCCATACATCCTAACATATGTCCCCCATACATCCAGACATATGTCCCCCATACATCCAGACATATGTCCCCCATACATCCAGACATATGTCCCCCATACATCCAGATATATGTCCCGCATACATCCTAACATGTGTATGTGTCTCCTATATCAAATCAACCACCTTCTGATCGGGGTAGACAGAATCAAATCACCTTCCCTGTTCCATCAACAGTAATCAGCAATAGATACTATTTTTAGATTGGCCCACTGCGATTCGGTCATAACACTTGCTGATATCTAGATCTATAATTAGATCCTTAATGCAAAAAGCTGATTAGTATTATCTGTAGGCCTATACGAGTTTCTCTTACTGTGAGCTTGCGGGAAATGCTCTAAAACCACTGGCACATTAACTAATTCTAGGCCCTCATTCAGTCGTGGCAAAACGAAACCAGTGAAAGAGATTTTACGGTAATCTCACAGCGCGTCATCGCGACAGATAAAAAGGGAGCTGGTGGCTGGATGTTTTTTCTTTAGCTCAGTCCATTCGTGTTTTCTTTAGCTCGGTCCATTCGTGTTTTCTTTAGCTCAGTCCATTCGTGTTTTCTTTAGCTCAGTCCATTCGTGTTTTCTTAAGCTCAGTCCATTCGTGTTTTCTTTAGCTCAGTCCATTCGTGTTTTCTGTAGCTCAGTCCATTCGTGTTTTCTTTAGCTCAGTCCATTCGTGTTTTCTTTAGCTCAGTCCATTCGTGTTTTCTTTAGCTCAGTCCATCGTGTTTTCTTTAGCTCAGTCCATCGTGTTTTCTTTAGCTCAGTCCATTCGTGTTTTCTTTAGCTCAGTCCATCGTGTTTTCTTTAGCTCAGTCCATTCGTGTTTTCTTTAGCTCAGTCCATCGTGTTTTCTTTAGCTCAGTCCATTCGTGTTTTCTTTAGCTCAGTCCATTCGTGTTTTCTTTAGCTCAGTCCATTTGTGTTTTCTTAAGCTCAATCCATTCGTGTTTTCTCAAGTGTGTAGTTGCTGCTGGTGTTTTCACAGGATCTACCTGAGGCACCACGTGACACGGGTGTTATTATGTGACAGTCGTTGGTGGCGGTTCATTGAAGAAATATTTCAGGTGAGTAGATAGGATGAAGTCGTTAGTGAGAGAATGTGTTGGTATGAGAGATTGTGTTGGTGTGATGGAATGTGTTGGTGTGGGGGATTGTGTTGGTGTGGGGGATTGTGTTGGTGTGGGGGATTGTGTTATTGTGTTGGTGTGAGGGAATGTGTTGGTGTGAGGGATTGTGTTGGTGTGAGGGAATGTGTTGGTGTGGGGGATTGTGTTGGTGTGGGGGATTGTGTTGATTGTGTGGGTGTGAGGGATTGTGTCGGTGTGTGGGATTGTGTTGATTGTGTTAGTGTGAGGGAATGTGTTGGTGTGAGGGATTGTTTTGGTGTGGGGGATTGTGTTGGTGTGAGGGATTGTGTTTGTATGAGGGATTGTGTTGATTGTGTTGGTGTGAGGGATTGTGTTGGTGTGGGGGATTGTGTTGGTGTGAGGGATTGTGTTGATTGTGTTGGTGTGAGGGATTGTGTTGATTGTGTTGGTGTGGGGGATTGTGTTGGTGTGAGTGATTGTGTTTGTGTGGGGGATTGTGTTGGTGTGAGGGATTGTGTTGATTGTGTTGGTGTGGGGGATTGTGTTGGTGTGAGTGATTGTGTTTGTGTGGGGGATTGTGTTGGTGTGAGGGATATATATTTAAAGGATCAATGTCATAAGTTTATATATATATATATATATATATATATATATATATATATATATATATATATATATATATATATATATATATATATTATTATTAGTCAATCAACGACAGTAGAAGGGGTGACACCAAAATCAAATGACTTACGATAAAATAGATGGATTGTACGCACAACTCTAGGCAACTATAGGGGGGACACCACGAGGTTACGCACCGGGTAACACCCTACCTCGCGACGCCACTTGCCTTACCTAAACCTAACCATTTAGCCTAACATACACATAACCAGCTTCTAGCCTAACCTTAATCTAGCCAGCCTTTAGCCTAACATACACATAACCAACCTCTAACCCAATAAAAATATAACGATCTCCCCCCCCCCCCCCCCAAAAAAAATAAAATAAAAAAAAGATTAAATTCCCCATAAATGTTTTAACAGTTCAGGACAGGTGTTTATCTTGAGTGTGATGAGGGAGTTCAATTCGACCCCCTCCTCCCCCCCCCCCCCCGAGGGAGCTCAATTTGTTCCCTCCCCCCCCCCCCCCCCCCCACAGAGGGAGGCTAATATTTGAATATAAACGTATATCTTCAGCGCCATAAAACACAACATTATAGCGAACATCTGTTGGTGTCTGCCGTTTCTGGTGCATCCGCTTCCGGTAATCTGCGTAAACAAAATATGATCGGTGAGATAGTTCAAGAATTAGGGCACATCACCATTTGCAATCTAAACAAAATATGATCGGTGAGATAGTTCAAGAATTAGGGCACATCACCATTTGCAATCTAAACTTTTTGCCTTGGGAGGTTTAAAGCTAGCTACTGTTATTGCTGGGAGGTTTAAAGCTAGCTACTGTTATGGCTGGGAGGTTTAAAGCTAGCTACTATTAAGGCTGGGAGGTTTTAAAGCTAGCTACTGTTATGGCTGGGAGGTTTAAAGCTAGCTACTGTTATTGCTGGGAGGTTTAATATTAAAGCCAGCTACTATTAGGGCTGGGAGGTTTAAAGCTAGCTACTGTTATGGCTGAGAGGTTTAAAGCTAGCTACTGTTATTGCTGGGAGGTTTAAAGCCAGCTACTGTTATTGCTGGGAGGTTTTAAGCTAGCTACTGTTATGGCTGGGAGATATAACGTTATCTAAGTCTACCTGGTAGGGGGGTGGCTAAAATATGAAATGATTTTTTGTTAAGATCTTGCGTTTGTGAAATGATCTTTTGTTAAGATCTTGAGTTTGTGAAATGATCTTTTGTTAAGATCTTGCGTTTGTGAAATGAACCAACGTAGACGGTAGACGTGGAGTAAATTTCCCGCGCAATGACTTTGTTGTGACGTGGAAGTTGTTGTAGCCAGTGTTTCTTCCAGACTTTTTTCTCTGGGAGGGCACTTGAAATCTTCGGGGGGGGGGGGGGGGGGGGGGGGGCGGTAAACTTTCTTCGGGGGGGGGGGGGGCGGACACTGTTAAAAGTATATATTTTCTATATAAATTACATAAATTCCATTTCGTTCGGGGGGTGGGGCGGTAAAAATTTTTCGGGGAGGGGGGGGGGGGGGGGCAAAGCCCCCCCCCCCCCGAAGAGATGCCTGGAAGAAACTCTGGTTGTAGCAAACGTCTGATCTTGTCGTGCTGGAGTCAGTGTGTGGAGTCAGACAGCAGGAGTCAGTAAGTTTAGGCAGACAGTGGCGTCAGTGTTTGGAGTCGGACAGGTGTCAGACAGCAAACAGCTGGTAGCGCCTGATGAAATAATTTGTTTCTATTTTAGGAAACTTTTAACCAAGGCCGTTGTGGTGATATGTGGTGACGTCTGTATGTCGTGACGTCTGTGTGTCGTGACGTCTGTATGTCGTGAAACAACAATGTGGAAACTTGGAGGCGTGGCCCTGCTCGTGTTGCTTACATGCAACTTTCCCCAGGTGAGTACAATATGTGGGGGTTAGGGGCTGGTGGTGGTGGGGGTAGGGACTGGTGGTGGTGGTGGGGGCTGGTGGTGGTGGTGGGGGCTGGTGGTGGTGGGGGCTGGTGGTGGTGGGGGCTGGTGGTGGTGGGGGGTAGGGGCTGGTGGGGGTGGGGGTAGGGGCTGGTGGTGGTGGGGGCTGGTGGTGGTGGGGGCTGGTGGTGGTGGGGGTAGGGGCTGGTGGTGGTGGGGGCTGGTGGTGGTGGTGGGGGCTGGTGGTGGTGGTGGGGGCTGGTGGTGGTGGGGGTAGGGGCTGGTGGTGGTGGGGGCTGGTGGTGGTGGTGGTGGGGGCTGGTGGTGGTGGTGGGGGCTGGTGGTGGTGGTGGTGGGGGCTGGTGGTGGTGGGGGTAGGGGCTGGTGGTGGTGGGGGCTGGTGGTGGTGGTGGTGGGGGCTGGTGGTGGTGGGGGCTGGTGGTGGTGGTGGTGGGGGCTGGTGGTGGTGGTGGGGGCTGGTGGTGGTGGTGGGGGCTGGTGGTGGTGGTGGGGGCTGGTGGTGGTGGGGGTAGGGGCTGGTGGTGGTGGGGGCTGGTGGTGGTGGTGGGGGCTGGTGGTGGTGGTGGGGGCTGGTGGTGGGGGGTAGGGGCTGGTGGTGGTGGGGGGTAGGGGCTGGTGGTGGTGGGGGTAGGGGCTGGTGGTGGTGGTGGGGGCTGGTGGTGGTGGTGGGGGCTGGTGGTGGTGGTGGGGGCTGGTGGTGGTGGGGGTAGGGGCTGGTGGTGGTGGGGGCTGGTGGTGGTGGGGGGTAGGGGCTGGTGGTGGTGGGGGCTGGTGGTGGTGGGGGTAGGGGCTGGTGGTGGTGGGGGCTGGTGGTGGTGGGGGTAGGGGCTGGTGGTGGTGGTGGGGGCTGGTGGTGGTGGGGGTAGGGGCTGGTGGTGGTGGGGGCTGGTGGTGGTGGGGGTAGGGGCTGGTGGTGGTGGGGGCTGGTGGTGGTGGGGGTGGGGGCTGGTGGTGGTGGTGGGGGCTGGTGGTGGTGAGGGTAGGGGCTGATGGTGGTGAGGGTAGGGGCTGGTGGTGGTGGGGGTAGGGGCTGGTGGTGGTGGGGGTAGGGGCTGGTGGTGGTGGGGGTAGGGGCTGGTGGTGGTGGGGGTAGGGGCTGGTGGTGGTGGTGGGGGTAGGGGCTGGTGGTGGTGGTGGGGGCTGGTGGTGGTGAGGGTAGGGGCTGGTGGTGGTGGGGGTAGGGGCTGGTGGTGGTGGGGGTAGGGACTGGTGGTGGTGGGGGTAGGGGCTGGTGGTGGTGGTAGGGGCTGGTGGTGGTGGTGGGGGCTGGTGGTGGTGAGGGTAGGGGCTGGTGGTGGTGGGGGTAGGGGCTGGTGGTGGTGGTGGGGGTAGGGGCTGGTGGTGGTGGTGGGGGCTGGTGGTGGTGGGGGCTGGTGGTGGTGGGGGTAGGGGCTGGTGGTGGTGGTGGGGGTAGGGGCTGGTGGTGGTGGTGGGGGTAGGGGCTGGTGGTGGTGGGGGGGGCTGGTGGTGGTGGGGGCTGGTGGTGGTGGGGGTAGGGGCTGGTGGTGGTGGGGGGTAGGGGCTGGTGGTGGTGGGGGTAGGGGCTGGTGGTGGTGGGGGCTGGTGGGGGTGGGGGTAGGGGCTGGTGGTGGTGGTGGGGGCTGGTGGTGGTGAGGGTAGGGGCTGATGGTGGTGAGGGTAGGGGCTGGTGGTGGTGGGGGTAGGGGCTGGTGGTGGTGGGGGTAGGGGCTGGTGGTGGTGGGGGTAGGGGCTGGTGGTGGTGGGGGTAGGGGCTGGTGGTGGTGGGGGTAGGGGCTGGTGGTGGTGGGGGTAGGGACTGGTGGTGGTGGGGGGTAGGGGCTGGTGGTGGTGGGGGTAGGGGCTGGTGGTGGTGGGGGTAGGGGCTGGTGGTGGTGTACCAACACACATATATACATGTACCAACACACATATATACATGTACCAACACACATACATACATGTACCAACACACATAAGAAGCATAGCGTGAACTTTAAAACCAGCTCTTGTTTGGGTTAAGACACATCCCAGACACACGTCTGACCCAGGGCTGAATGTTTGCACGATCTTAAGGCCGGCAGAGTTCAAGGTTCACTCATATATTTACACCTGGCTTACCTGAGGCATTCAGTGCAACACGCTTACCCGATTGCCGTCTGTTTATAATTTAATGCTACTTCAATTTTAATTAAAGGCCAACTAATTCACTCACACATCTGTAGGCTAATTCACTCACACATCTGTAGGCCAACTAATTCACTCACACACATCTGTAGACCAACTAATTCACTCACACATCTGTAGGCTAATTCACTCACACACATCTGTAGACCAACTAATTCACTCACACATCTGTAGGCCAACTAATTTCACTCACACATCTGTAGGCCAACTAATTCACTCACACATCTGTAGGCCAACTAATTCACTCACACATCTGTAGACCAACTAATTCACTCACACATCTGTAGACCAACTAATTCACTCACACATCTGTAGGCTAATTCACTCACACACATCTGTAGACCAACTAATTCACTCACACACATCTGTAGACCAACTAATTCACTCACACATCTGTAGGCCAACTAATTCACTCACACATCTGTAGGCTAATTCACTCACACACATCTGTAGACCAACTAATTCACTCACACATCTGTAGGCCAACTAATTCACTCACACATCTGTAGGCTAACTAATTCACTCACACATCTGTAGGCCAACTAATTCACTCACACATCTGTAGGCCAACTAATTCACTCACACATCTGTAGGCCAACTAATTCACTCACACATCTGTAGGCTAATTCACTCACACACATCTGTAGACCAACTAATTCACTCACACATCTGTAGGCCAACTAATTCACTCACACATCTGTAGGCCAACTAATTCACTCACACATCTGTAGACCAACTAATTCACTCACACATCTGTAGGCTAATTCACTCACACACATCTGTAGACCAACTAATTCACTCAGACACATCTGTAGACCAACTAATTCACTCACACACATCTGTAGACCAACTAATTCACTCACACATCTGTAGACCAACTAATCCACTTACACATCTGTAGGCTAATTCACTCACACACATCTGTAGACCAACTAATTCACTCACTAACATCTGTAGGCCAACTAATTTACTCACATATCTGTAGGCTAATTCACTCACACATATCTGTAGGCCAACTAATTCACTCACACATCTGTAGACCAACTAATTCACTCACGCACATCTGTAGACCAACTAATTCACTTACACATCTGTAGACCAACTAATTCACTCACACATCTGTAGACCAACTAATTCACTCACACATCTGTAGACCAACTAATTCACTCACACATCTGTAGTCAAACCAATTCACTCACACATCTGTAGGCTAATTCACTCACACAAATCTGTAGACCAACTTATTCACTCACACATCTGTAGACCAACCAATTCACTCACACATCTGTAGGCTAATTCACTCACACACATCTGTAGGCCAACTAATTCACTCACACATCTGTAGGCTAACTAATTCACTCACACATCTGTAGACCAACTAATTCACTCACACATCTGTAGGCTAACTAATACACTCACACATCTGTAGGCTAACTAATTCACTCACACATCTGTAGACCAACTAATTCACTCACACATCTGTAGACCAACTAATTCACTCACACATCTGTAGTCCAACTAATTCACTCACACATCTGTAGGCTAACTAATTCACTCACACACATCTGTAGACCAACTAATTCACTCACACATCTGTAGACCAACTAATTCACTCACACATCTGTAGGCTAACTAATTCATTCACACACATCTGTAGACCAACTAATTCACTCACACATCTGTAGACCAACTAATTCACTCAGACACATCTATAGACCAACTAATTCACTCACACATCTATAGACCAACTAATTCACTCACACATCTGTAGACCAACTAATTCACTCACACATCTGTAGGCCAACTAATTCACTCACACATCTGTAGGCTAATTCACTCACACACATCTATAGACCAACTAATTCACTCACACACATCTATAGACCAACTAATTCACTCACACATCTGTAGGCCAACCAATTCACTCACACATCTGTAGGCCAACTAATTCACTCATACATCTGTAGGCTAACTAATTCACTCACACATCTGTAGACCAACTAATTCACTCACACATCTATAGACCAACTAATTCACTCACACACATCTGTAGACCAACTAATTCACTCACACATCTATAGACCAACTAATTCACTCACACATCTGTAGGCCAACCAATTCACTCACACATCTGTAGGCCAACTAATTCACTCACACATCTGTAGACCAACTAATTCACTCACACATCTGTAGACCAACTAATTCACTCACACATCTATAGACCAACTAATTCACTCACACATCTGTAGACCAACTAATTCACTCACACATCTGTAGGCCAACTAATTCACTCACACATCTGTAGACCAACTAATTCACTCACACATCTGTAGACCAACTAATTCACTCACACATCTGTAGGCTAACTAATTCACTCACACATCTGTAGGCCAACTAATTCACTCACACATCTGTAGACCAACTAATTCACTCACACATCTGTAGACCAACTAATTCACTCAGACATCTGTAGACCAACTAATTCACTCACACATCTGTAGGCCAACTAATTCACTCACACATCTGTAGGCCAACTAATTCACTCACACATCTGTAGACCAACTAATTCACTCACACATCTGTAGGCCAACTAATTCACTCACACATCTGTAGACCAACTAATTCACTCACACATCTGTAGGCCAACTAATTCACTCACACATCTGTAGACCAACTAATTCACTCACACATCTGTAGGCTAACTAATTCACTCACACATCTGTAGGCCAACTAATTCACTCACACATCTGTAGGCCAACTAATTCACTCACACATCTGTAGGCCAACTAATTCACTCACACATCTGTAGGCTAATTCACT